CTCTCCGAAACAATGTGTTACAGAGAATGTGGTTACTTTACCAAAAAAAAAAAAATTGGTCATTTTTGTTAGAAGATCGTTTATAATGGTTAGATTACTCAATTTCCTAGATTAAAATGAGTTGATTTTGGTTATTTGCCCTCCTTCCTTGAAGTTGAAGGATCAAGTCCGTCGTTGACATATGTGGATTTAAGGAGTAGTTTAGAAATAGGTTAAATTTGTCGTTAAAAAAAAAAAAAAAAAAAAAAAAGTCAAGAAGTCAATTATAAGAAACCACCCGAACTGAAAACGGGTCGAATACCATGGCGAAGCTTCCAGATTACGAAATTGTCTATCTTCCGGCTTCCGATGGGAAGTTATTCATAAACTCGCATCAATAGTCGTCTCTTTCTTTCTCATCAAGAAATAATCCGTCGTTGCGTCATTTCTGCTCCAATGTCATCTCCAGCAGAGTAATTTTCTCAAATTTTCACTAACGATCGTTCGCGTGCTATGCTATTGCTTGATCTTCGTTGATTTGTAGTGTTAGCTTATTTAAATCGTGCAACGATTCAATTGAGGCTTAACCACTTGCTATAGCGATTCGAATTATGTCTGCGTGTTGTCTATTTGATTTTGTGATCAAAGAGTTGCTATGTAGGTTACACTGCCAATTAGGTAGTTGTTGGGGGCGCTTATGTGCGAAATTCATGTTAATTTGAGTTTGTTAGCCGAATTATTTTACATTGTTTGCTCATTTAGAGCGTGATCTTTTTTTATTTTGTAGGTTTATCCGATTTTAATTGCTTGTTGTTCAGATATTTTTGTTTGATCTGTAATTTCCATGATTTAGTATGTGAGTTGGAATTTGAGTAGTGACATGCTGTTAATCATTGTTATGTTTAAGTTATATGGCTAATTGCTGTTAAAAATTCATATAGTAGTGTATGGAATTTTGGCCTAGGTTTTACTGTTATTGTTAGGTGTGCTTAGCTAGGGCTTGAAAGGATCAGAATTGGCCTGATTGGCATATAGCCATGGGGAAGAACATGAGGATTGTCTAATTGCGCCCCAATCTTACATTCTTTTTTATCTACTTATTAAGTTAATTCAACAAAGAGGACGAATTAGGAAGATATGTTCAGTTTATGCAACTATGCTTTTTAAGTTACTTTTTTTAAATAAAATATGGCGTTTCCAGAATTTACTAGAACTTCCTGATCTACACACAGTCACACACTAGATATTTGAATTGTAGTGGTGGAAAGGTGAGGGAGGAATCCTTGAAAAGGTGTCTTGAGACTTAAAGGAATAGGTTATAGCTACGACTAAAGTCTGTCACTTATTGAAAAAAATACTTCCAGACATATAGATTAGCAATGTTAAATAGTGCAAGTGTTGTGTCTATCATCAAGATTAAGTATCCACATAAATTTTAGTATACAAAAGGAACAATTTTATTGGATTATTTTAGAGCTGTTAGGTTGTTCTCTCCTTTAGGCAAGAAATATATATAACTGTAACCCAATAACAATATTTAAAGCTCATAAATATGTCACATTTGTATCACTTTCCAAGTAACATTGTTTACAGTCTATTCTTTTTGGATGATTCCTAGGATAAATGCACAGAATATGTCAACATTGGATGTTTGTGGACATCATCACCTTAGTTTATCATTAAAACCATGTAATAAAGCTCTTTGCCCTACAAATCTAGCTGACAATAAACAAAATGTATGATATGCAAATATTGTAGAGTAGATTTGGATAAAGTACCACATCAGATATGCTTAACATTTCCAACTATGGCTAAGGCTTAAATGTCCATTTTTGTTATGATCATGACACATGGCTAAGGCATAAATGTCCGTTTTTGTTAAAATCATTTTGGTTTTTTAGATATTTTCTTCTCTTTACAGATTCTATAATTCACTCCCACCTATAAGCAAGGCTTATGGTACCTTGTGTTTGGTGACTACAACACTAGCTACATTAAAGCTTTTACCAATTTATTATATCGCATTGATCTATGAGCAAGTTTTCTTTCGCCTTCAGGTATGCATTATAATCATCCAAAATTCTTCATCTTAAATAATTACACTTGATCTTATATATCCAAAAAGCCACCTTAAATGATTTTGATTTGGATCTACTTTTATCTTTTAGGTGTGGAGGCTTCTTACAAATTTCATCTTCCTTGGCCCTTTCTCTATAAATTTTGGAATCCGCCTGTTAATGATGTAAGTATATAAGACCTTTTAGCATATATTTTATATATGAACCTATTTTAATTTTTATTTTATTTTTTTTTATAACTTTTGTCAGATTAAGATATGGAGTTCAACTAGAGAATGGACCTTTTAATAGACGCACAGCAGACTTCTTGTGGATGATGATATTTGGATCTTCAACACTTTTGGTGAGATGCTCTATCATATAATTCATAAAGCAACTCTTCAAAAAATTTCACTTTTTTTCTTGTACTTTGAAAAAATTGCTATAATTTGGTAGGTGTAATATAAAGAAATGGAAAACAAATCAATGAAAGTACATTGCTATTTGGATGACTAGGTACTAGCCGCCATTCCTTTCTTTGAGTCATACTTTTTGGGGGTATCTTTGGTATTTATGCTTCTTTATGTGTGGAGCCGAGAATTTCCAAATGCCAATATCAACATCTATGGGCTTGTACAACTTAAGGTACCACTTTCTTCTATTGACCTTTCTTGTATTTGACAAATTTACCCTTATGTGTTGTTTCATTAACTTTCAGGCATTCTATTTGCCATGGGCCATGCTTGCTTTAGATGTTATATTTGGTTCACCTATTGCCCCTGATCTATGTGGTATCTTAGCCGGTCATTTATATTACTTCTTGACTGTCCTTCATCCTTTGGCCGGAGGAAGAAACATTTTGCAGACACCAATGTGGTTGTATCCTTTTTGCTTGTCTGACAGATCAGGTTGTACTGTGTTTGTGTTTGGTCTTGATATTGATGTCAATGAGATAAAAAAAATGAAACTCTTGTCCCACATAAAAAGACTAGCCCAAGATTGGTGGTTGCAGCTTCTTTTTGCTCTACTCACATACTGTGTTTGACCTGTATTGGACTAGGACTGAGCGGTACAAAAATCGCAGCTTTTGTGCCATCCAAAAAAGGTGGGACAGAGACTAGCTCTCTAGCTCTATATCTCCTCTGTGCAAAAAGACGTGAATGTCCTCATTTTTCTAATTAAAAAAGCAACATTTTGTCCTATTGAAAAAAATACTGTTTTTTTTTTTTGAAATTTCTTGACTTGTTACTTGATAAAGACGTAAAATGGTTGCAAAGTACAAGATTGGAGCTCTGGTGTATACCCAAACACAGCCCGCTGGAAATACTGGTGGTGTCTTTAGAGGAAGATCTTATCGTGTTGGTGGCTGATTTTGATTTATTTTTTTTGAACTTGAAAACAATTTATTTGAACATGTTTGGATGTTAGATTGCAGTAACAAAAAGTAGTTAATTTCGCCATCTTGGGTTTTCTTAATGAGCCAATTGATAAATCTTTTAGAGGATGACTCAGAAAATCTGGATTTATACATTTTGCTTTTTTGTTGTAGATTTTGAGTTAAATATTGCGGTGGTTTTTAAAAACTAACACGTGGTCTACAAGAACATTAGAGTTTGAGTTAAAATGTTGGTTGCGGATTCAAAATAAAACCAACAATCACTTTTGAATGAACTAAACTTCTCTCGTTTTATTATAACTTGTTTTGATTTGCCAACTATTGTCATATCTACTAATAGGTGTAGTGGTAAATTATTATTTCTAAGCATGAATGAAACATGTCAAATCGGTACAAAGTTTGCTTAATATGTACCCATATGGCCATATATAAACAATCTCACTAATCGTTCGAAAATTAGATTATTATGATTGAACTAATATAGATTTTGCAATTGTATTTTACATATTAGTTTTGCTATAAATTTAAAAAAAAAAAAAAAACTACAAAAAATAAGTTTGTAGGTAAATCCAGATTTACAAAAAATTTACTTAATTTTTTCAAACCTTTATTAAATAGTTATATGACTTGTCTACCACATACAAACAATTTATGTTTTTTTTTTTTTTTTTTTTTTTTTTTTGTTAAGCCCTATACAACAAAACTTGGTAACGTTGGAAAAGTCAGAAAAGCGGAAAACTTGGTCACTAACCGGATGCGATGGACTATGTTCCATTCAGTTGTCAGTTCTAATTTCATTTCAAGAAACTAGTTATCAGTTCGGCTTAAGACCATAAGGTAGCGCCGGTTTGAATTGGATTGAAAGAGAATGGACTGGACAAGCTGTATGCATATCGTTTGGTACAACTATAACCAAGGGCATATCCACTAGCATGGGCCCACTTGAAAGTGAGTCTCAATATCACCCCATATTTTACTAAAAAACGCCCACTAGATTCGTAATTTTGAGAAATAACTCATTTCCCCCCTCTCAGAAAAAAAAAATGTATATCCTAAAAATACAGATTTTTATATATTTTATATTTGTTTAATCTTTTTTTTTTATGTATGATGGTACTTAAGGTTCTAAAAACACCCATAAAATTGTCACTTTAAATCACGTCTTACAAACGATATAGTTCGCCACGACTAGTATAACCTGAGACTTGACATTGTTGTCAAATCACATTAACGTTATTTAGAACATTGATGGTACCTGCTAGTTGTCGTTTTAGATCCACCACTATATATCATCATTCACTTTTTAATCGGTTTCTAGTTGTTTACAATATAACACGACCAAACTCGCAGACTAATTTAAATCTAAAACAATTATTTAAAACCACAAGGACCATTCGTGTAATTTACTTTAAATCTAAAACAATTATTTAGCTCGTATTAATTTGAAAATTCGGTTACTTTTTATTGTATATACGAAAACATGGGTATATTCGTAATTTGATTTTAAAATAACAAAGGAAGTCCTTGAATAAAGGCGGGCGGGAATGGAGGTGATTGAATGGAGGCGAGAACACCGCTCGCTCGTTATTCAAATTAACCCTAAAATCAATTTTAATTCTAACATTTTCTACCGATTTACAGTTGCAATTTCGAATCAATCACATCAATCTCACACAAAAACAACCTCAAAATGTCGTGGCAAACTTACGTTGATGAGCATTTGATGTGTGACATCGACGGCAGTGGTCAGCATCTCTCTTCCGCTGCCATCTTCGGCACCGATGGCACCGTCTGGGCTAAGAGCACTTCCTTCCCCCAGGTCTCTCTCTCTAAACTTATTTCCTCATTTTAGGGCTCGTTTTACAATCATCATCGTGATTTTCTGCAACAAATTCGTTTTGTGGCGCTGATTTCAACTAATGTTGTATCTGATTCGTCATAGGAATCTGGTAATTAATTCCTTTGTTATGTTCCATGATGAATGTACTCTAGATGATCTGATCATGTTATATTGTAATTTGTTCATAAGAATTCAATGCATTATACAAAAGTTAATCGCCACTATAATCGGATTATCTGTGTATTTTCAACTTCAATTCTCTTGTTTTCCCCTGATTATAGAAATCATTTCATCACTTCACATTGTAATCTTCACTACCTAAATCTATGCAGTATAAATCCGAAGAGATCAACGCTATCATCAAAGAATTCAATGAAGCAGGTCATCTAGCCCCAACTGGTTTATTCCTGGCGGGTGCAAAGTACATGGTGATCCAAGGAGAGGCTGGAGCTGTGATTCGTGGTAAAAAGGTAAACATACTTTTCCATTAGTAGCATCTTACTTTCATTTCTTCTTTCCTACACACAAAGTACAATGCATTAATAGGGAGCTGGAGGGATATGTGTGAAGAAAACAACTCAAGCCATGGTGTTTGGGCTGTATGATGAGCCAGTCGCACCTGGTCAATGCAACATGGTTGTTGAGAGGTTGGGTGATTATCTGTTGGACCAGGCTCTGTAGGGCCCACAAAGGTCTTCTTGTTATTCAAGTACTTATATATATATTATATGTTTTGTGTCTATACTCTATACTCTCTTTCATAAATTGGGATACATGGTTTTTTTTTTTTGGAGTTGTGATGTGATGTTATTATGTGTATCTTTGCAATGACTCGAAAAGGTTGAATAACTTGTTACTCCATACCGAAAAGAAGGCTTATTGTGTGTATAAGAGAAATTTCATAGTAAACATTGTTTGTTTGTTTGTTTGTTTTTTTGGTAATTGTGGATTGCTTTTTTTGTTTGTTAATTAGTTTTTGGTGAGTATAAAATTGGTTGATAGTTTTGAAAAAATTAAAATTAAATGAAACAAACTAAACTAAAGGGCTTATAGCCAGTCACGGGTTGTTCTCTCTCTCTCTCTCTCCTTGAGGTCGATGGTTCAAGTCTCATCTACGTCATAGATGGATTTAGGCGTAGTTTAGGAGTAGATGAATATATGTGATTGGATGTTGTTTTGATGCTAGATGTGCTTGTGATGCTAGGTGTTCTTGCAATGTTAGATGTTGATGTCATTCCATATTAATGTTATTTACATATAATGCTTATATATGATTTTACAGAGTCTAAAACTACATGAAACACCAAGCTTTTTGACATAATATTATGATGTCTCAGATGGAGAAGTTGAAGTTGGAGATATTCGCCATTAAGAAAACATGTCAAAAAATCCCATTTTTTGCAACAAGATTATATGACATTGAAACCTTTGTTAAATCGGGAAAAAAAAATTAGCAAACACAACATTTTAGGTAAAAGGACTTGAACATATTGTTTTAACGAAAAAAATATAAGATTCCTTCTGAAAAAAGTATAGATTGCATAAAAGTCACTATGTTTTCATTTATTCTATTTTGACATACGTATTTTTTTTCAATTAAGTCACTAATTTTTTCAATTTGTTTCAACATTGACAATGTACATGGTCACCCGGTTGCCAACGCCAACTGACATGACATTCTTTGATGATATGAAATGTTGATGTGTCACTATTTGGTGACATCACATTCTAGGTGTCAAAATCGAAAAGAACTAAAATGTGACTTTTGTGCAATTTGGTATCATCATAAAAATAATGAAAATTCCAACAAAACAAATGATAAATATGCCTTTTAATGTTAGGAAATATACATACCGCTTAGATTAGGTTCTTCTTATGTGTAGTGTGTTGATTGTTACTTTGTGATAATGATGGCTAACTAATCCTTTATGTATGACCCTTTGATGGATCTTGGTTTTCCCACCCCAAAAACTTTTTGGAGTTTACATGAGCTTGAACCATATATTCATATGAGCTTGAACCATATATTCATATGAGCTCAAACCAGGGTTTGACCCTTGTTGCTCTGCATGTAAATAAAAAATCATGTTCAAACGATAATGGTATTTTGTGTTGAAAATATTTTTGTTCAAATTGATTAACTTAACATTTTATATGTTTTGGTTGTTGTATTTATTTATTTATTTATTTATTTTGAACGGTTAGAATGGTAAATGTATTTTGTACTTGCTTTGTTAAGTAGTTGTCTTGAAGGTTGAATATTGTATATGGAGAAACGTGTGGACTGCGGAGCACTAAATACAAAGTTGAGCTGTAGAACACGCAAATCTTTTCTATCTGGGTCGGGTTGTTGACCCGGTGTAACGCCCTATTTCAGATTGTTTCCATTTCAGGGTGGTAATCAAGGATTGGATATTAGCAAGCTCAGGATCCTTGAAGAATTGAGTTTTTGGGCTCATTTGGAGGTGGATGATGGTATTTCGGTAATTTGTCATCTCGGGTTTCTATGGATATAGGATTTTTTTTTCGGGAAATCTTATGTAACATCCCAAAAATCCAGGGTAAAAATTTCATTTTTATTATAGTCAAAACATTAATGAAACTTTATCCAAACATTGAAAAACAATTCAAATAAAACAATTATCAGAGTTTATTCCCAAGATCACATATTGCGGAAAACACGGGTGTATGTGTTGCGATCGTCCCGAGCCTTCTCATTTGAAAACTGGAGTACCTGAAACAAAAACTGAAAACCGTAAGCACAAAGCTTAGTGAGTTCCCCAAATACCACATACCATACATATCCAACGAACCATACATGTCATACATAACCGTAAGCCATACATATTATTCATATACCATAATCAATAAGAGTGTATGTGTCAACCATAGTCTTGCCATTATGCCACGAGTCGCCTCGTGGTCTTTCTTGCCAGGTTGGGAGCCACAACCCTGGGTCTTACAGACAAGTGCCAGGAGCCACCTACGGGTCTTCCATGCAAGCATCACAAAGACAACTAACATACAGTCTACACTACTTAACTAATTAACTGCCAGAGTTCAGACTATGTTCTTGCATACAATGTGCCAGGAGCCGCCTCCTGGTCTTTCATACATAATGCCAAGGGATAACCCCTGGGTCTTCCTACAATACATAAACCAAATGGGCCGGCATTGGTGCCTTCGACCCATACAATAGTGAGGAGACTCACCTCGAATGCAAAAACTCCCTGAAAGAAATCCCTAGCTGCTGCCCTGACGACGCCTCCGAACTATCATATCAAAATAACACCAAATAAACAATTGGATTCCATTCCAAGGCTACCCCTGACCCCAACAAGAACCAAAGCTGACGCCCAACACCAAAAGATCCACAAAGGCCCACTAATGGCCCAATTTTCCAAATTGGGCCCAGTCCCATATGGGCCTCATCCTAAGCCCATAATTCCCTCAGTTACAATTCAGATTACCACGAGTACCCCTTGGGACAAACTTGCTCAAAGACAATAATCAAAAGTCAATGTCAACGGTCCAAGTTGACTCAACTCGTCGAGTTGTCCTTTAACTCGTCGAGTTCCTTCATTAGTCTGCAAAGATCGGGCAAAACCCAATCAACTCGCCGAGTTCACCCATGAACTCGTCGAGTTCGCTAGAAATCCAACATCTTAATTCATTAAGCTGATCTTATCGAAACTGGGCTTCACAACTTAGATCTTAACTGAAAATGGCCTCAAGAAGGGTAAAGTTTCTAACTTTACCCCTAAGAACCACCAAAATGGGTTCAAAACCCAAACCCTAAAATCAAAAGGGTAAGGACTTAATCATTAAGCACTTAATCAACAAGGATACAACTCCAAAATGCAGACCTGACCACATAAGGCTAGATGTCCATGTAAAGTTTCCAACTTTACACTTATCCATGACTAGAAGAAGCTCAAAATCATAAAAGAGGCCAAAAGAAGGACTTAATGAATGCATGAAGCTCTAGGACCATAAAGTTGGCACCTTTATGCCAAAAGAGCTCATGAAGATCATAGATATGAAAAGGATAAACACTTGGGACTTCTACTTCCCCAACAACCACCCATCCATGGCTAAAAGCATACAAATGAACCCAAGAAGATATCTAAGCCAAACATAAGCAAGGTTAGAACTTTATACCAGAAATATGCTGGAAATGGTGCAAAGAATCCAGATTTGAAGGCTCCTACTTGAATCACCACCTTGCACCAAGCTTCCCTTCCTTTAATGAGCTTCAAACACACCAAAACACACTCATAATAAGCTCACAACACTTAAGGAGGCTCTAAGGTTTCGAGATTAGGGTTAGAGGCTATGAAGGCTGGAAATGAGGCCACAACCTGGGACTTAAGGTTTTTAAATAGGGTGCAAAACCCCAAAATTAGGGTTTCCTTTTGAGTGGACAACTCGTCGAGTTTCCTCATTAAACTTCACGGCCAAGCATCTTCTACTCGCCCGAGTTGAGGCTCTTCAACTCGTCGAGTAGACCCATTAATTCTCATGATTCTTCTTCTTCAAAACGCCGAGTTAGCTCCTCCAACTCGCCGAGTTCAACTCGAAACTGACATAATTCCATAATTAACCTTCTAGATTAAGGGTGTTACATCTTAAAGAAAGTATGAGTTATTATAAGTGTAGAGCATCTCGTAACCTTTTCGTGGATATAAGAATTGCCGGAATCGGGTTTATAACAAAGGAGTTATGGCCTTCGAAAGGTTGCAAGGTTTAAGACAAAACCCTAGTACGTGGGGCGTACATAGGGAGTACACGGGGCATACTAAGGAAAATGTGAGTACGTTGGGCGTACCTCAGTGTACATTGGGCGTACGTAGGTGATGGATCGCGGGCTTTAAGAGGAGTACGCTAAGCGTGCTAGGAGTACGCGAAGCGTACTGCAGAATCATGCGAACCCTATTTTAGGGCTTTGGACCCTATTTAAGCTCATTTTCTCATAACATAACCCTAATATCTTCAGCCTCCACCCCTCTAAACCCTAGAAATCGACCCTTAGTCCCATTTTAGTGATTCTTAAGCTTGGTATGTGCTTGATGGGTGTCTTGAGAAGAAGAAGAAGTAGAAGAAGAGAATCATGTGGAGTTGTGGTTTGAGCTTCTAGATCCAGGAGTACCTTTCCATTTGCAAGCCTCCAAAGGTAAAAAAGCTTTGACCTTGATAATCTTTGTGTTTGGATCTATTTCATGGTGTTCTTTGGCATTGTTAAGTCATTTGGTGAAAATGTGAGCTTTTGATCTACTCCAGAAGTAGTGAATGTTAGATCTAAGCCCCACCCAGGTCCCTTGTTCATAAAAATTGGAACTTTATGAAAGGTTTTGGTCCATGCATGTATTAAGCTCTTAATTAGTCCATCCTTTAAGTATTGAGTCTCATTAAGTTGTGCTTGTGAGTAAAGTTGGAAACTTTACTGGTTAAGACATTGGTTAGGGACCAAATCTAGGTGTTGGACATCTTGACTTAACCTATTTAGAGCAAAGAAAGGGTTTTTGGACTTCTAACTAGTACGTTGGGCGTACGAGGGGGTACGCTTAGCGTAATACGAAGATTGTGCATCAGGATGTTGTACATTGCACTTTGTGGTCGAATACGCGGGGCGTACGTCTTTAGTATGCTGGGCGTACTCCCCAGAAGGGCGTTTTGGGCTTTTGAGGTTTGGTCCATTGTTGGGTTTTCATAGTTTGGGCCTTGTTGGACCATTAGATTCTTTTTGGGCTTCTGGTTGGTATCTTTTGGGCCCTTTTTGGATGTTAGGCCAATAAAGGGGTTTT